ATGAACGTTGAGGAAATCGAGCAACTCTCATCAACAATACCGAGCAAGAACAACCAGTTTTACTCAAACAAAATTTATTAATTCCGCATTGTGCTCTAGAAGGACCGTCGGCAAACAATGCTCAATTGCTGATCTGGCGACCGAAACACAGTGAAGCTATCGCTGTTGTTAATTCAAAAGTAACTGATAAGAGCACATTAAAATATATGAGACTATTACATTTTGAAGGAAAAATGCTGCAAAAGCTAAATATGAATCAAAGACATTTATAGCTTTGACAGTTACGTATTCCTGTTTTTCTTCATCCTTTAACGTTAGCATGGCGTTTTAGAGGTCATTGTTTTATACTAATTTCTTTTTTTTTATTTACATCTTTTAAGAAATTTTTCCAGCCGGTTTTGAAAATTTATTAAAAGATTTTACAAGTTAATTACACATCGTTCGTGACGTCAAAACAGAAGCCAGTAGCCAATAAGGTAAAGATATGATATCTCAGCTGATGTTATATTTTCATTCCAAATATTGTTATTATCGAATATGGCTTTGCACGTATAGTTCAATTACATTATCAAACAATTCCAGCTTCATATACACTATATTCATCTTTTTGTATTTTCTCAATTTAATATTCTGTCGAGTCATCTCTTCGCCGTTATTTGCAACAAATAGTTTTAATTTAATTGTTAATCCTAATGAGAAAAGACAACAACTTTGTGAAACTGACGTCACCTGCTCTCGTCGTCAATACACGAATAAACGTTTTTGTTCTAACTATCTGCAAATAATTCAGTCATGCTGTGGAGCTAGTTTACCGTGACTTATTAAAAAGATTTTGCATAGGAGATGATCATTATAATCCAAGTACTTTTCATAACATTGGTTTCAAAAGAGAGAATCGGCTGACATTAACAGCAACAACAACAACAATATTAATGTTTTTGAAAGACAAACTATATACCTAATCTTTCTCTAGCACGTTGTTCACTCACAATGTATAGAGAGTATTAAAAAAAAAACTGTTTTCAATGGAGTAGTCGGCGATGTGATCATCATATAGTGGTTTCCCTAGTTTGCTGTCAGTGTTGCCAAAATCGTTCTAATCCTCTAAATGCTCCACTTGTATTCTGTTGCAAATCACCGTTAATTTAACACTTTAGTTATGTTGTGAAGATGAAATTGGAATTCAAGACGTTTTTGGTGACAACTATCTCGCGCCGATAATGATAATCTATAATATAACTTAAACAGTGTATTTATTAACATGAATCTTTTTCTCGTTTTCATGCTTATTATTTTCTAGCGTTTTGTTTGTAAAAATCATTTACAGAAACAAAACAAAATTCTATTTTGTTCTATCGTCTCTCTTTCTAATCATGAATGGAAAAGATTAAAAGAATCGTTATAAACAAAAGCAAACTTGCGCACAACTATCTCGAATATATTTATTTGCATGTCTTGTTGAATCTACACACAGTTTTTTTTTCTTTCAAGAAAAAAATGAACTTATTTGAAATGAATTTAAATGAAGAAGCGGAAATGGAAAAAAATATTGATTCTACAAGCTTAAAACAAACACACACAAACATCCGAATACAATTTTGAATTGTGTGGATGCTTATTTTACTTCAAACAAAAACAAATAATAGGTTTTTCTTTGAAAAAACTTAGGGTGATATTTACGATTAAAAAAAAACGAACAAAAAACGGCAATAAAACAGAGAAGACAGAAAAAGCTGATCTGCAACATCAAAAACAACAACAATAAGAGTAGTAGTAGCAGTTTAATTTCCATGCAAAACAAGAATGAGAAAAGGAAAAAAAATCGATTTAACGTAGAGCAAGTAGTTTCAGATATAGGCGTACATACAAACAGATACATAGTTTAGGTTTGTTGTTGGTTTGTCATTTATGGATCTTCCAATCTTCCACTACTAATATCATTCATCTTTGGATAGCGTAAACTTTTTTGATCTAATTTATCTTGCATGTAATGTGCCATTCGTACGAGTACCGATAAATCTGACTCTGATTCATCATTTTGATATATTAATAGAGCTGAATTAATTTCATTTGCCACTTGCTGTCGATGTGATAATTGCATTAAATACCCGTACGGAGATTCCAAAGCTTTGTCAAAGATCAATAATGCCATAGTTTTTTCTAGTTCTTGTCGCATTTTAACATCTTCTTCAGCAAATTCAGCCAAATGTATCTGAGCATAATTTAATGCTTCATCAATTAAATTACCACGAATCAATTCAATTAATTGTTGTTGCTAAAAACAAACGAAAAAAAAATCTTTATTAAAAAACGTATTTTCTCTGCTAACATTTACTCAACGTTAGAGAAACTTACTTTTAAATGAAATGTCAATTGTCTACTTTGATCTAGTAATTCTGGTGCTTTTAAATTAATTAAATTAATTGCGTCATGAATATTTCCACTTTCAATCGCTTCACGAATTCGAATACGTTCGCCAAGACTTGTTAAATCAACATTTGTCAACTGAATACCAGCTTCTTGAGCAAATTTTTCAGCAGCTTCTTTAAAACCTTCTGTAATATAAAAATAAATAATTTTCTTAAAATTAAGATGGAGACGTCTGTAAGAGAAATTGATATTTAACTGGGAGAATGCTTTGTTTTTCTTTTCGAACGTTAAGTGAAGACAATTTATCTGAAAGTTTAATAATCTAACCTGTAACTAAATAATTGATAATTAAACGATTCAATGTAGCACGTTCAATATGTTGTTGTTCAATAGATTCCATCCACTCTGTTTTTGTTACTGTGTGATGAATTGGTGTTAGAGGATGATTGTCAGATGTCGAACTTGCCGATGAATTACTAACAGCCATTGCAGCTGCAACAGCTGCTGCTGCAGCGGCCTACAAAAAATGAAAAAAGTAGACAAAAAATATCTTTTAAAAAATCAAATTTTCTACATACTTGAAGAGGTTGAGCAAAATGTGCATGCATTTGTGAACTTAATGACATATGAATGATATCAATAAACAATAATCAACATTTAAAAGAGAGAAATGTAATGGATTTGCTGATATGGATATGGCTACAAATTTATATCACACAAAACTTTACTTTCAATCTGAAAATGTAAACAGAATGGATAATATTTAGTGGTTTTAGATCATTAGAAGTTAAAAGATTATAAAATATTTTAAAACACGAAATTTGCGTATGAACTGGAAGAATTGACAATCCATGTTTTACTTATTGACTGTAAAGCGTACAGAACATTAAATTTAACTTGTGAAATATTGTCGGTTCTATTTTCAACCTGAATGCAGATCAGGATAATGAAAAAAAGACAACAATGTTTGGAATACAAAACAAAAAAGGAATAATAACAATACAAAATATTAAATTTTTCGTCGTTTATTCCTAGTTGTTTTTCGTTGTGTTTGTTTTGCTTCATCATCTTCCCATTCTTCATCATCGTTTGGAATTGTTTGTTCTTCAATATCATCAATTTTCATGCCATCATCGTCGGTTTCAACATCTTTTTCATCGTCTGGAATCTCAAATGCTTGAATATTGCCATCATCTTTCGTCCAGATTGCCTTAATTCGAACTTTAAATTCTGATTGTTGATATTGAAAAAATTTTAATAATTTTGCTTGCTCAGGTGTTAAAACATCACCCTTTTTACAAATTGTATATGGTTTTTCCAAATAAATGACACCCAGAAAAAGAAAGAAAAGTTAGAATAATATGAGCACAACCATCTGTTTTTTGCTCTGATTTTTAAAGAGATTAAACTAAACGTCTTTCTAAAAATTTGAGCAATCAAACTGATAGATCTATTTGTATTAAAAAACAGCACTGCTTTGCTATTTGTCAGTTAGCATTCCTCCTTTCTAATATTGATAGAGCACAATAATACCTTTTTTCAACGATGTCATCAATCCCAACTGTCTCAGCATGGGTTCCATTGTATGTTGAAAATCTGGTAATGCTCCTTGTTCAATTGTCACCGCTTCTGTAGCCACGTTTCCACTTCTAGCATAATCCAATAGCGATAAAGAATTGAAATATTCTACTATTTCTCTTTTGTCACGATTTGTTAGCATTAAACCAATTTTTCCTAATAGATACGGTGTAATTTTTGATAAATTTGTTAAATATTCTCGATTAGGTGTTCGACCTAATGCAATGGACATTACTCGATTTTTACCAAAAAAAAACTGACTATCAGAAAAATGCTGACGAATATGGTGAAGTTTTTCATTACGTTCATTATAGACTTTCAACAGGTATAACGATGAATACTTGTCAAGATTTGAGTGAATTTTTGAGATGAGTTGTTGTTTTAATTCAATGCCTCGTTTACGTTTAGTCTTTGTTAATGTTAAACGTTGATCGCGTTTTGATTTTGGCATTTTTAAATGAAGATGACAGATAAGATCTAGAAGAATAACAAATTAAAAGATGATCAAGAGGACAACCATCTGATGGGTCTAGTTTAAGTCATCAGTCAACCACACTTCGTCCAAACCAAAACGTCGGATTATTTGTAGTACCCCCTTGACAAGTTTTTATTTAGAGCAGTTAAATGAAAACGACTTTAAATAGTGGTATTAATAAAAACATATCACACATTAAAAAAGTGAATGAGATCAGTAAAAGACATCAAATGAAAGAAAAAACAGATGAGATTATTCATCACCTATCCATAAAATAACCTGGAAGGTTCGGTTCAAAGTAAAATTTCTATATAAAAAACGTATTACACAAAAAAAAGATGTTCTAATAAAATAAGGAAAACAACAACAAAGGGATCACTGTTGTTCCACAATATATTGTTTAAAATGTATTAACTATTTTTCGTCTTTCGATCTCCCACAATTACATATTTCAAACTTTTAATTCTTTACATCACATGTCAACACAAAATGCAAAATATATTGACTACGCTAGACGTTAGATATGCGTAGAATTTCTCGCTGCGTTGAAACTAGATTAAAATTAAATAAGATACCCGATAGACAAAGTTTCTTGTGAAATCATAAAACACCTGGCAATTCACAGTACTAATGAACGCTGAACATTTTGTATCATGAGTCTCTGTCCAGTTCAAAGAAAAGTACCCAAAATACTCAATTTGTCTAATATTTAGCGTTAAAAGTGTGACAGATGACTGGTATCCAATTTCTCTTTTGTACTGATTATATGTCTTGCTTTAAATCTTAAGATACTTTGAATTAAGAAAGCGGAACAAAACTAAAAAGTTCTTCAAACTGAG